GATTTGGCTTCTTTGCTTGCCTTGTAGGTGAAAGGAGAGGGGATTGCTCAAGATTGTCGTGTGAGGAGCAGGGGAGAAAGTGGGTCAAGGAAACTGCAGCGAAAGCAGACAATTGCCTCTGACTTCCCCTGCACAGACAGGGCTGCTCTCCTTTTACTGGAGCTGATAAACATTGCTTTTCTCAGAATTTGCAAGAATTAAGGAACAGAGCTATATGTGAGGACCTCCTTTTGCTCTCAGATTATTCCTGAGTAATTAATGATTTTTTCTTATCCCTCTGAAGATTGTTTCAATAAGGCAAATATCCTAGTCATTGCCAGGGGACCTTGCAGGGGGAGTTGGAATGGAATGCATGGATTTTATGGAGGAAAGGTAGAACTTAATCTCTTTTTCTCACTTGCAGGTTGGGATCAATCAGATAAGTTTATTAAGATCTACATCTCTTTAAATGGAGTCCAGAAGCTTCCAGCTGAGAATGTGCAGGTGAATTTCACAGAGAGGTGAGTTCATCTTGTTGCACTACGAAAGCATGGGTGAAGAATGCTATCTGAAATACAGGAGTGTCTTGAGTTCAGTTCTGCGTCAGCCCTTGTCTCCCCCCCCTTTTTTCTTTTTCTAAACGTGAGCGGTGTCAGCTTTTAGTAGCACTTAGCCCATACCCTTAAGTGTCCTTCTCCTTAGAGGGTATCAGAGCATTTTCATTTTACACATGCTTGTTGCGCCTCATCACGCTTGACAGGATATGCAGTGTTAGCCCTGTTCCTTCATGGCCAAAGAACTGAAGTGTGCACTAGGAAACCTGCCTTTCCAAGGCCGTAGCAGATCCGTGAGTAGAAAGAATCCTACAGATCTTCAGTGGTTGTGAAGTCTGGAAAGGTCCTTTTAAGTCCTCAGTATTAAGTCCAACTGAAGATTTGAGAGGCCTGTGAAGCAAGTAACTCAAGCCTGTTGACATGCTTTCCAAAGAAACACGCCTGCTAAAAGGCTTGTAGACACTGGTCTTGGTGTGAAGGGACAACAGTGTTAAAATGATTGGAATATTTCTGCCCTCCTTATCCCACTTTTCTGGTTCCAGGTCATTCGATCTGCTAGTGAAGAATCTGAATGGGAAGAACTACACCATGACCTTCAACAACCTGCTGAAACCCATCTCTGTAGAAGGCAGCTCTAGGAAGGTCAGTGCACCTTGGCTGTTAGGGAGATTTAGGTGCCTCACAATGTACCAGGTTCCTTGCCTGAGTCTAATTCACAAGACTTGGTGCTGGCCTTCAGTCCCTCCCTTCCATCTGTAGATTCTTTTAACTGTGAATGTGATTCTTACTACTCTGTAATTGGCATAACTGTGGAATTATTCTCTGGAATCCACGGGCTTCTATTTTAAAAGATCATGTCTGGATATTGTATGCTTTTAATAGCCCTCTGACAGGATTACAGAAATAATTAAGCAGAAAATTCCACTAAACACGCATTTGCATCCTTGTGCTTTTAAATACCTCTGAGAAATTCTTTGCAGTTTTAAAGTGTTGAGAGTCCTCTCAGCAGACTGAAGTCTTGGGAAGCTTAAATCGCCCTAATACCCTAAGGAGCGTGAAACCTGCCCTGGCTTCGTAAGGGTGTGTGGCTCCAGAACAGAACACTAGCAACATCAGCTGCTGGAGGCTGCAGGTGGTGATCGTGTCTGCACTCAGCTGCTCCTGGCACCTTTCTGGGCTTGGGAAACCTCGTGTGTCTTCTGTGCAGTCGTGTGCTGCACTGCATGACATCAGATGTGAAGAAATGATGGTTCAATTTGAAATTGTCTCCAAACTAGGGCAGTGTAAAATTAAAACAACTGAAATAAATGAGGGCGATGCTCTGGTGACTTTTAACGCAGTGTAAGAGTGACCAGTGCTCACATAGTTGTTAGCCAAGCTAAAGCTCCAGCAGACACTTGTCCACTGTGGCACACAGGAGTTCTTTGCGAAATCTAGGTCAGGGTTGCAATTAAGCAGGCTTTGCTTGTAACTTGCAAACATATTGCAAGATTAAGCAATGCCCTGGAACTAGTTTCTTATCCTTGGAGAAATAAATTGGGAGAACCTCTACCTGAACTTGGTATTCTTGGGAGAAGTCTGGTAAATGCAGCCACTCTTGACTCGATAGCCCTGGCTGAGATTCTCCAAGTGGTGTTTCTGCAACACTGTATGTTCTGTATTGGTACTATAGTTCAGTGCTGGTATTAGGTTAATCACACCATTTAAAATTGTCCACAGTGAGGTTAATACTTTGTTCCCCGCAGCTGAGTACTTACTAAAATTTCTATACACTGCATAATAATCCATGGCTGAGATAAATGTTTCAGGAATTTCAGAGTATAGGAAGAGGGTTTTTTATCAGCTAACCGTATTTCCTGTGGTTGTGACTAGCATCCCTTTATGAAGCATGCTAGGATTCATGCCTTGTTCTCCATACAGATAAAGACAGACACAGTCCTCGTCATGTGTAGGAAGAAGCGGGAGGAAAAATGGGACTGTCTCACTCAAGTGGAAAAAGAAAGCAAAGAGAAAGAGTAAGTGTCTCTTAATTTTCCATTTCCCATTCTCCACATTGCGTGAGGACTGCCAGGAGAGCAGGTCTGTACTGTGCTGACTCGTCTGTTCTGGGGGACAAGCCCCTGCGATGTTTGAGAATCATCAGGTTGTGGGTTTTTTGGTACTAGCAGGACTGGTAGAGGAGGAGATTGACAAACAGCAACTCAAAGTCTCTCTTTTACTGCTTTGTTGCTAATGGTGAAAGCTGCATCAGAGGAAATGTGATAGATAAGGCCTGCAGTGAGAGTGCTAAACCAATTAAAGGTTCATTTATATTTTGGACCCCATATTTATATTTTGATGGCTCCATTCATTGCAAAACTGCTCTGGTGAGGTTGACCTTTTTTAGGTTAAGTGTATATTATATAGAAATAGATTCCTTGCAGCTACATAGAAATAGATTCCTTGCAGCTATGCTTGTGAAAATAGTTACTATTTTGTTACCTGTGAAGTGCCTACACAAAAATCCCAGCATCCTTTTGGCATAATGGGTCTTTGCTTACTTGGATTGTTAAACAAAGTCTCAAGCTTATTTGTGCTTGGGAGCAATCCTACAACCAGCTGAGGCACTGGATATATGAGGGTGGTAAATCACAGCAGGAAACACCTAGGGACAAGAAATTTTTAATATATAGTATATTGTATCATAATGTTCTTCTACAATACACACGTTCTTATCCAGAAGAGAATGTGTATACCCACCTTGAATAGCTGAATTTAGAGCAGAAGTGCCATCTCCCCTCGAATGACCTCACTGGAGATGAAGAGGTGACCTGAATGCTGAAGCAGGCTGCTGCAGGGCCGGGGTCATGCTGTGAAGCTGTGCCTGGCACAGGGAAGCCCTGGGTGCTGCCCAGGACTTGGCATTGCCACCGTGCTCCGAGCATGGAGGGTTCACAGCATGACAACAAAATGAGTCGCTGTGGAAATACACCCGTGTTGGGGTCTGTCTGGGGGTTGTCCCAAGCTCGGGGAACTTGCTCCCTCTGCTGACCTGTTTTGATCTGCATGTTTTTCAGATAACCCACAGCTGCACTAGGAGCTATCTAGAGCACTTTAGAAAAGAGGAGAGGCAATTTTGCCAGCGAGGCATTGTGTAGACTGGTGATGCGGAGTGTTGTGCCTGGGTGCTTAATGTGTGGGTGTCAATTAATGTCTGGAGATAATCAGAAAAATGAGAAACAGCAGATGCCTTTTGGGTTGTCAGTGTGGCTGCTTCAGAGAGCTCAATGTGGTTGGTTTTCTGTTTTTACTCACTTGTCATGTAACAGCACAGACAGATACTGGCACTTTTCTGTGTTTATATTCCACTTCTGCTTCCTAAAATTAATTTTGAGTGGTTCTTCCAGGGTCATGTTTACTGCAGAATGCTTCCTGCCATCCTCGGTGGGACAGCTCTAGGTACACTACTGTGTTTGCACTTACAGGTGCTCTTTAGGATTCTCCCTACGTGGAAGTTGACTGGGACTGCCAGGGTCTAAAGACTTTGCCAGAGCAAAATTCTGTTACCAGAACGTTTCAAATAAATATTTAAATACTTAATTTTTCACACAGAATTATTGGGTGTGCCTGACCCTCTCGTATGTATCTGTCTTGCAGGAAGGCTGCCTATGACACCTCGGATCCTAGTGAAGGGCTTATGAACCTTTTGAAAAAGATGTATGCGGAAGGGGATGATGAAATGAAGCGCACCATCAACAAGGCCTGGGTTGAAAGCAGAGAAAAGCAATCCAAAGGGGACATACCAATGGATATTTGAAAGTGCTCTAAGGGCCGCCTTAATACTGATCTTCCATGTGAGACATGCTCTGCTGCAAAGATCATTGTTTACACAACCTTCTTCCAAGCAAAGATGGTCATTTTCCATTGCAGGTTGGAGAAAATATTTAAATAAAATAGCTTATAAAGCATTTCCTTCAGTCAAGCGGTTCACCATTTCCTGAAGAGTAGAGCCATAGGTATATTCTTGCCCCTCCTTGGAAAAGATCTCAAATGAGTGGGGAGTGTTGTGAAACAGAGCAGAATGTAAAGGAAAGGAATCCTAACCTAGGATGGGTCAAGGCTTCTCTGTTGCAAGTGACAGCTGTACCCATCTGGTTGCTGGGGCTGATGTCACACTCACTATGTGGGGTGTGGTATATTTGATTAGATGTGCACATTGAAACTCCAAAGCATGTCACAAAGGGAGAAACACTGAAGAAAGCAGAACCACTGTCTTGAGCACTTGATAGTTGAGCAGAAACAATATGGTGTAAATCCTGTGGTATTAAAATGTAACGGTTACTCTCTGAAATTAACTGCAGCTGTTTAACTTCTTAGGGGTTTTGGCAGTGAAAACAGCTCTTTAGTGCCTGTGCCAACTGTGATTTCCTTGAGGCTATCTTTGAGGTGGGCAGGAGGGCAGTGAGCTGCTGATGCTGGACAGCGAGTTTGCCCTGACTAGCAGTCTGTGAGGAAAAGAGACAAGCTCCACTTTCTCCTATCAA